TTCTTGGCTCTTCCCATTAAAATTGTGTTCCTTTCATCGCTCCTCTCTCCTTCTCTTTCCCTTCTCTTCTGCTGTTCCCCTTTATATGACAAAAAACACAAGAAAGGAAGAACAAGAGGGGAATGGAGGCCCTTTTCCTGTCTTCTCCTGTTGCAATGAATAAGGAAAAGAGCATAGGAGATAAGGAAGGGAATTGAAGAGTAAATGGGCGATGGAACTGGAACGGGTGTTCCTTTTGAGAGTTTTCTGCATCTTCAAGGGAGAAAAAAGACATCCCCCAAGAAGGAAAAGTAACATAAGAGATAGGGAGGAAAATTGAAGAGCTCCTCTCTTTACCTAGTCATTCCCTGTCCTCTCTTCTTATCTGTTGTTTTTCTTAGTCGCTTCAAAAAGCAAAATAAGGGAAAGGCGATTTCCTGAAGAGGAAGAAGGGCACCTATCTATCTGTGAATAGCAAGATTGGTTTTTTCTAATTAGGGAGAGACAAGGGAGATATATAAAGCTTTGCGACAAGTTTTGTCACTCCGTCTCCTTGCTTCCTGTCTGTTCTATTCCTTGCAGAGATAAGGGAGAGAGGATAGATAAAGAAGAGTGCCATCTTCTTTGCGCCTTGTTTTGTCTCTCCCTCTCCTTTATTCATCTCTCTTCTATTCTTTTCTTGGCTCTTCCCATTAATATGGTGTTATTGTTATCTCTCCTCGCTCCTTCTCTTTCCCTTCTCTTCTGCTGTTCCCCCTTAAATGACAAAAACGCAAGAAAGGAAGAACAAGAGGGGAAGGAGGCCCTGTTCTTTTCACAATGGATGGGGCAAGTGAGCGGGGTTGGCTCCTTGCCCGTAGACCCTCCCCATGCTTCAGCATATTCTTCCTCTCGCCCTATCGCCTCTCTGTTCTTTTCCTTGTTCCCAAACGGAAAAAGTGAACGGGTTCCTGAAGACGAGAGAGGGCGCCTGTTTTTCTAATTATAGAGGGAAAAGGGAAAGACAAGGATGATAGATAAAGAAGAGTGCGATCCGTCTCCTTGTTTCTTGTCTTTTCTCTTCTTTTCAATACCCTTCCAGAAAATTAAAATGGCATCCTTGTTGTCTCTCCTCTCTCACTTCTCTTTCCCTTCTCTCCTTCTGTTTCCGTTTAGCTGTTAAACCACAATAAAGGAACTTGTATGATAAAGGCAGTGGGAGGGTAAGCAGAGGGTGACTCCTTGAGTGTGGACCTTGCCATACTTCATCATATCACTCTTTTCGGCCTATCTCTTCTGCTCTTTTCCTTACCCTTCTCCTTTTCATAATTCTTCCTGCTTAGTTTTTCTTATTTCGAAAAGAAAAAGGGAAGGGAGAGATAAGGGAGAGGGGATGGATTAAGAAGAGCGCCATCTTCTTTGCAACTTGTTTTGTCTCTCCTTCTCCTTTATTCATCTCTCTTCCATTCTTTTCTTGGCTCTTCCCATTAAAATTGTGTTCCTTTCATCGCTCCTCTCCCCTTCTCTTTCCCTTCTCTTCTCCTGTTCCCCTTTATATGACAAACACACAAGAAAGGAAGAACAAGAGGGGAATGGAGGCCCTTTTCCTGTCTTCTCCTGTTGCAATGAATAAGGAAAAGAGCATAGGAGATAAGGAAGCGAATTGAAGAGTAAATGGGCGATGGAACGGGCGTTTCTTTTGAGAGTTTTCTGCATCTTCAAGGGAGAAAAAAGGACATCCCCCAAGGAGGAAAAGTAACATAAGAGATAGGGAGGAAAATTGAAGAGCTCCTCTCTTTACCTAGTCATTCCCTGTCCTCTCTTCTTATCTGTTGTTCTTCTTAGTCGCTTCAACAAGCAAAATAAGGGAAAGGCGATTTCCTGAAGAGGAAGAAGGGCACCTATCTATCTGTGAATAGCAAGATTGGTTTTTTCTAATTAGGGAGAGACAAGGGAGATATATAAAGCTTTGCGACAAGTTTTGTCACTCCGTCTCCTTGCTTCCTGTCTGTTCTATTCCTTGCAGAGATAAGGGAGAGAGGATAGATAAAGAAGAGTGCCATCTTCTTTGCGCCTTGTTTTGTCTCTCCCTCTCCTTTATTCATCTCTCTTCTATTCTTTTCTTGGCTCTTCCCATTAAAATTGTGTTCCTTTCATCGCTCCTCTCTCCTTCTCTTTCCCTTCTCTTCTGCTGTTCCCCCTTAAATGACAAAAACGCAAGAAAGGAAGAACAAGAGGGGAATGGAGGCCCTGTTCTTTTCACAATGGATGGGGCAAGTGAGCGGGGTTGGCTACTTGCCCGTAGACCCTCCCCATGCTTCAGCAAATTCTTCCTCTCGCCCTATCGCCTCTGTTCTTTTCCTTGTTCCCAAACGGAAAAAGTGAACGGGTTCCTGAAGACGAGAGAGGGCGCCTGTTTTTCTAATTATAGAGGGAAAAGGGAAAGACAAGGATGATAGATACAGAAGAGTGCCATCCGTCCCCTTGTTTCTTGTCTTTTCTCTTCTTTTCAATACCCTTCCAGAAAATTAACATGGCATCCTTGTTGTCTCTCCTCTCTCACTTCTCTTTCCCTTCTCTCCTTCTGTTTCCGTTTAGCTGATAAACCACAAGAAGGGAACTTGTATGATAAGGGCAGTGGGAGGGTAAGCAGAGGGTGACTCCTTGCGTGTGGACCTTGCCATACTTCATCATATCACTCTTTTCGGCCTATCTCTTCTGCTCTTTTCCTTACCCTTCTCCTTTTCATAGTTCTTCCTGCTTAGTTTTTCTTATTTCGAAAAGAAAAAGGGAAGGGAGAGAAAAGGGAGAGGGGATGGATTAAGAAGAGCGCCATCTTCTTTGCAACTTGTTTTGTCTCTCCTTCTCCTTTATTCATCTCTCTTCCATTCTTTTCTTGGCTCTTCCCATTAAAATTGTGTTCCTTTCATCGCTCCTCTCTCCTTCTCTTTCCCTTCTCTTCTCCTGTTCCCCTTTATATGACAAAAACACAAGAAAGGAAGAACAAGAGGGGAATGGAGGCCCTTTTCCTGTCTTCTCCTGTTGCAATGACTAAGGAAAAGAGCATAGGAGATAAGGAAGGGAAGAGTAAATGGGCGATGGAACGGGCGTTCCTTTTGAGAGTTTTCTGCATCTTCAAGGGAGAAAAAAGGACCCCCCAAGAAGGAAAAGTAATGCAAAATTGAAGAGCTCCTCTCTTTACCTAGTCATTCCCTGTCCTGTCTTCTTATCTGTTCTTTTTCTTATTCGCTTCAGAAAGCAAAATAAGGGAAAGGCGATTTCCTGAAGAGGAAGAAGGGCACTTATCGATTTGCGAAGAGCAAGATTGGTTTTTTTCTAATTAGGGAGAGACTTGCCCCGCCTGAGCCTCCCTGGCCTGCTTGTTGTGGCCACATTCCGCTACAGTTGCCCCGCCTGAGTCTCCCTGGCCTGCTTATTGTGGCCACATTCCGGTACAGTTGCGCTTCCAGAAAAATGCCATCCTTGTCATCTCTCCTCTCTCACTTCCCTTTCCCTTCTCTCCTTCTGTTTCCTTTCAACTGATACAGCGCAAGACAGGAACTTGTATGATAAGGCAGTGGAAGGGTAAGCAGAGGGTGACTCCTTGCGCGTGGACCTTGCCATACCCCCTCCTATCGGCCTATCCCTTCTATTCCTTTCCGTCCCCTTCTCCTTCTCATAGCTCTTCCTTTTTGTTTTCTTATTTCGAAAAGAAAGAGGGCAGGGAGAGATAAGGGGGAGAGGATAGATAAAGAAGAGTGCCATCTTCTCTGCGCCTTATTTTGTCTCTCCCTCTCCTTTATTCATCTCTCTTCTATTCTTTTCTTTGCTCTTCCCAGTACAAATGCAATCCTTTTTGTCTCTCCTCTCTCCTTCTTCTCTCCCTTCTCTTCTCCTGTTCCCCTTGATGTGACAAAAACACAAGAAAGGAAGAACAAGAGGGGAATGGAGGCCCTGTTCCTTTCTTTTCCTGTTTCAATGGATGGGGAAAGTGAGCGGGGTTGGCTCCTTGTCCGTAGACCCTCCCCATGCTTCAGCAAATCCCTCCTCTCGCCTTATCGCCTCTGTTCTTTCCTTGTTCCCACATGGAAAAAGAAAACGGGTTCCTTTGCATGTTCATTGTTCTTCCTTTTGTTGTTTATTTGAAAAGGAAAAGAGCAAGAGAAGAAAGATGAAAACGAGCACCATCTTCTCTTAGCCTGATTTTGCACCTCCCTCTCCTGTCTTCATTTCTCTTCCATTCTTTTCATTGCTCTTCCCATTAAAATTGCATTCCTTTTGATCTCTCCTCTGATCTGCGAAGAGCAAGAATGGTCTTGTCTTTTGAATTATAGAGGGAAACGGGAGAGGCAAGGAAGGGAGAGATGATAGATAAAGAAGAGTGCCATCCGTCTCCTTGTTTCTTGTCTCTTCTCTTCTTTTCAATCAATACCCTTCCAGAAAATTAAAATGGCCTCCTTGTTGTCTCTCCTCTCTCACTTCTCTTTCCCTTCTGCCGCAGCCAAACAGCGACTTTTTCACGCAGGCTGAAAAAAGAACACGCATACACAGATAGCAAAGAGAAACAAATGAAAATAAGAACAACCAGAAATTCGCAGTTCGTAATGGCGTGCGGCTAGGCCTAGAACCGCTGGGCATGAGATTTGCGTGCCATATGTAGGTGTAAATATGTATTTTTGTATTACGATATTTATATTCGCTCTTTTTAAGCAATAAGAAAAACCCAAAGCTAAATAGACCCTAAAGGCGGCGGGCTCATATATATATAAGAAGCTGATCGGGCCCATACTTTCGACGGTGGTGCTGGGTAGTCCTGAGGCCTGGACAAGCAAAAGTCCGCCGACACCGCAGTTGGCATTCCTGCGGTGAGTCCTGGGCATGGTGCGGGCGTACCAGCACCCCCCCCCCCCCCCCCCCAACTACCCTTTCAACCATCATAGCAGGGTATATAAGTCCCCTTTACTCAACTCTTAACCATAGTATAGTAGGGTATATAAATCCCGGGTGCAGGCAGTTGCCTCCTTTGATGCTGGGTCTGAAAACTAGGTGATGGATGGAAGATCATGTTTCGGTGCCTCAGGATACCGCCGGCCCACCAGGTTGAGCAGACCCAGCATCAGCTCGAATACAAGCAGCAGGGGGGGGGGGGGGGTGATACACGGCACTGGACTTCATCATAAATCAGCGGGACTGCCTTAAGTGACAATTAATCGATCTCGCATGCACACACAGAGCCTGGCAGTCAGTTCTCGTGCCTCCACCGTGCGAGTGGAGCCGGGCAGTTTGTGCGGACCCGTGTAGAACATGCCGCGCCTAGGACAGGCGGCAAAATCAGGAATCTTGCGCCAGAGGTCTTGCAAGGACGAGGATTTTGGCCAGGGATTCATTCATACATGAATTGCTAATACTGCATTACGTTTTCTGGCCTCTCGGACCACTCGACCTTCCCCTTGTTGAGGGACACCTGTTCCTGCTTTTAAGGTGCTTTAGGCGAGCAGCTGCGATCCGAACTCAGGCCAGGGAGCTTAAAGCAACCATCCGGAACTGCGTCCAGACCGACGAGGCTCTCTGCCTGTCTTCGTGCGAAGGTTCAAGATCGGCCAAGGGTGCAGTTCAACTTAGTATGTCACTGTCGTATATATAGATATACATATTATACACTTTATTACTTTATATACACTCTATATATAAAGAATATATACATTATATATGTATATGTATATATATATAATATATATATATATAGATATACATGTCTATATCTATATATCTTTTTATCTATATATCTACATATCTATATTATATATCTATATATCTATATATCTATATGTCTATATATCTATATATCTATATATGTATATATCTATATATCTATATATCTATATATCTATATATCTATATATCTATATATCTATACGTATATCTATATATCTATATATATATCTATATAATATGTGTGTGGTCTATCCGGGTCGAAACTGGCGTCTACTGGGTGCCAAGATGTGCTAAGGATGTGAAATTGAGCTATCAGATATGGGTTTTCAGAACCCAGCGCGGGCAAAAAACTTCCCATGTGGGGGCGGGCTATGGTGCCACGCGCGCTTTCCCTTCCCGAGCTGTGAGCTTGCCTCGCCAAGCAAAAGGATGCTCCTGGGGGGCAGTCAGATTCATCTTACAGTTTCGCATCTCAGTGGCTGAAAGCGTCCCAAAGGCACAAAACCAAGCCTCCTGGTACGAGCACCCTCGGGACTTTTTAAACCCCTTGGGGGGCGATCCTCCTACTCGTCCCGGCCACCACGGTGCCCAGCGCCGCAGCAACGAACAGGGCACTCACCACCGCTGCAAGGCGCAAGCTCCCTGACATCCTCAGCGGTTGTAGAGAAGGGCTTCAGAGGCTTCTGAAACATGATCCATGAATCTACGAGCCACGGCCGAAGTAAGCGCCACCCCAAGTTCGTGCATCCCTAAGCGTGGCAGTGCGACAGCTCCAACCCTGCTATTCTCGCAGTCTTCGGAACCCCGAAAGTTGGGGCTGGCCCTTATATAATACATATATATATATATGTACATTCCGTCAAACGCTTCAGATGTGAAACCCAGCCGACTAGTCAAGCAAGACTCGCCGCTGCATCACCGAACCGCCCCCCTACGCCCCAAACCCACCTGGGCTGCAGATTTGGGGACCCACTGGGCACAGGAGCTGGTAACGCAAGCAGCGCCTCCTCGTCCGCAGGCCTTGCAAGACTGTCTCGGAGCACCCGGAAACCCTCCTCAAACCCTAAACCCTAGTAAACCCTAAACCGCTCCAGGCCTCGCCAAGTTCCCCTTTTTCCCCGGAAGCTAAGTTCCTTCTCATCCAAAGTCCCAAAAGCACGAAGCTCTCAAGGCCTGCACTAGCATGCAACTATAGTAGAAGAATCAGCATAAGACAGTACACGATGTACAAAATAAAAGATCTTTCATTTATATAATATAATAATCTATATATATACATATAATACAATGTAATATAGTATAATACAATGAAATACAATATAATATAAGAACACGAAATATAATGTTGTATCACATCATATCATATCATATCATATCATATCATATAATCCGATACAAAACAACACCATACATTTTTTTACAGAATATACAACATAATCATGAAATAAGTAATGCAGTATAATCGCAGGGACCTGGAAGCTGCCATGGCCTCTCTTGGGCGGCTGCTCTGAGAAGCCCGAGCCGGGAATGGACCCAGGCAGAGAGGCAGGGTTTAGGGGCTTCTTCGGGTTGAGGGTTTAGACAACAAGTGCGCAAGGTTGGGTGGTGCGAGGGAGCAAGGTTTGGCTACAAGAGAGGGTCAGGGGCTGGATCTTGGGTAAACGGTGTTGATGCGCCGGGCAGTGAACAGTTGTCGAAACGGGAAAGCATGTAGAGGATGCACTTGCCAGGCATGTCAGAGCCATCAGCGTCTGCGAACAGGCATGAAACCACGACTGATGCTGCGCGTTTGCATTAGCCCGTTCGCATCCGGGCTCGTTTTCATTTACGCTAAACCCGAAAGTCCCTTGGAGCTTTTGGGGGCGGCTGGGGGAGTCCTGGGAAGCAAGCTCGCATCCCGCACCTTTGATGTTGTTTTGTGAATATGGATCATGGTCGTTTGCAGGGCTCAGTAAGGGTTTGTGAGGGCTTTACAGATCTACATAGATCTACAGATGGACTGGCTTCAGAGGGTCTGCTGCGATCCTGATTGACATTGTCAGCCCTGTTGCGTGCGCTCTTGCAGAAAGGTCGTGCCGGCCAACTGCCTGCCGTTCAGGGCTCACAATGAATACCGGATGGAGTCGTTTCAAAGCAGCATGCTCTCCCAGCTCAGAGCTTTGCCGGCAGTCGCAGCTTCATAGGGGTAGATAGTCGAAATCCCAACGAAGAATTTCGGATGACTTCCGAATCAAAACAAACCTGGAAGCACGGGGCATAGCTCTAAGCGGTACCCGGCACCGTGAGTCGCCTGAAATTTGTAGCAAAGCCGATGGCGCTTCTCAACTCAGCAATGCACAGCAACAATGACAAACCAGGGACCCGTATACGTTGCCATCATGTGTAATGATCTCTGCGTTTTACGTACCCTGAAGCTTGCAAATCCCGAGTTGAAATTCAACAGAACTGCAGCTCTGGTGGTCCTTGAGCGGACTGACTTTGCGCTCAAAAGACCCGGTGAATTGTCGTTGCAGTGGCTTTCAGTATAGGGTTCCGGGGTCTAGGGGTTGTTGCTGCCTCTCTCCGCCAGAATGAGACACAGCATGGAATTTAGAACTATCCGACGAGTAGCCGTAAAAAGGCAGGCTTTGCCCTGCGCAAGACATGCTTCCATGTCGCTATGCAACAACTTGGCGCCATGAGATCACCAAGATCGGCGCCCCCGACACCCAAGCCAGCCCTATGTACCCTGGTTCCAGCCGCAAACCTGCCGATGCAGTCCTAATGAGACGCGAGTAGGCCTGAAGGACCTAGATTACTTGACAGCTTCAGGAAGTCGAGGGACGCCGGCTCGGAAAGCAAAGATCACTCCCCCGAGCCATCCGTCGATCCTGACTCAGAGTCCCCGCTGGTGGTTTCCGGGATATTTCCTCCGAAGGAGCGCGCCGCAAGAGGGGGGAGACAAGCCGCTGCATTGTGAAATGTCTCAAGGGTTGGGGGTTGGGGTATGATAATCCATCATCTTCTTTCTTGAGTTGCTGTCATCAGGGCGTCCTGGTTGTTGATTGAACCTCTGTGTCCGACATATGTGATGCTTCTGTCTTATGTTTTGCATCATGTCGGCGATGAACCCCGTGCATCTGCTTCTAACCCCGTGTCCTTCCGCAGTGTACTTCATCAGGTCCTTCACATGCAGCAAGCTCTCAACTATTCTTCCCATCTCTGCCAGCCCCTCTGAAGAGCAAGAAAGCCCCCTACGATGCTTTCTTCCCAGGAAAGAGTTGGGCCTTTCGGGGCTATTTCGCTGCTCTCAGAAACATTTATGGGGAGTATCTCAGCCCTACAGAATGTCTTCCTGATGGGGATTCAATGGGCCGCTCTAAGAGATCAAAAGTGTTGGCAGCAGGTCCTGCGATGTTGATCTGGACTTGGAGATTTCCTCCTTAAAGGCAGCTGTCTGAGCCAACAAGGCGTCTATTCATACAAGGACCCTCTGTGTGCCTCAAGCTGCTGCACATCAACACTTCGGGGAAAGGTGGGCGGCCTGAAAGGAATCCCCAGAAGACTCACCCGCGAAATGCTAAAGATTGGATGAAAAACACCATGAAATGATTCAAACCCTGAACCAAAGCCCAATAAACAACAAATCGAGCTTGAACTGCAACCACGCTTCGGTCAGCATCCGCTGCAAGAGACCTTCACGGCTGCCTGCACTCAGCAAGGCTTAGGTGGGGAGCAAGACCTGGCAACTTAGGGTTGCAAGTCCCAGGCCTGAAGACTTCATCTCAACCCTTGACCTACCGAATGCCACCCAACTCCCAACCCAAGCTGGCACAACACCCTCAGAAGGGGGGCTTCACACACCAGAGCCTAACGTCTGTGGGCTGGACTCTTCCAGGACGAGGTCTCCCACATCCGACTCTTGCAACTCCTCCAAATTTTCGGCTTGAAGGCAGATGAGTTTCGATATGCAGGTGAAGTGGGGCAGCTTCTTTGTGCCTTTTATGCAGGGGCTTAGAGTCCAGACACAAAGCTTCCAGTCATTAATGCTTGCACGGCAACATGTCCTCAGACCCAGGTAGTGATAGGGGTAAAGGGGGAAACCGGGAACCGGGAACCCAAAGTAACTCAGGAGCCTGCAACACGGCCAACATGCTGGACAGCCCCATCAGCTGAGATCGGAAGCATGTGGCTAGGAGAACTCACCGCTTCTTGTTAGTTCCGTCCTCGCGCACGGCTTGGGACGCCTCCAAGATCAAAGCAATTAGGATGTTGAGGACGATAAGATTGACCAACACCTCAGCAAGTAGATTCAGCCTTTGTCAAGAAAAAGCCATTTCGGCACTTGCGGCCGTGAGTGGCTTTGAGCCAGGCATTGCTTGACTTACCTTCACTTTGGCAATTGCTCTGCACTGCGTCGGGTCACGAAGAAGGACACAAAGAAGATGGCGGAGTATTCGGTCGTCACCAGAATGCACGCACCAGCTATCTCCTCGAGAGCGCAACCGCATTTCGAGGAGAGCGCATCCAGAAAGTATCCCTAGCCTATCCCGCCATCCCTGTGCAGCAAGCTCCCAATTAGAATTCCACACTCTCAGCGATTTGGTGCCTGGAGCTAAAAGGGACCCAAACCAAGAAGAGCGACAAACCAGTTGTTGACAACCATCAGGGAGAAGAGCGTCACGAAGCCTGCGTCGCTGCCCAAGAGCTTCTGTCTTACAACCAACCACCAATGCCTTCTACTCCGTGGCATGCTTCATGCATTGATTTGGAACCAGGCTTGTATGTGGCGCATGCTGCTGCCCCAACCAAGATGACGGTGCCTGAAGGGACGTCGTTGAAGTTCAGGGCCCAGAAGTGGGACGCCGCAAAGGAAGACCCATCTAACCTGGACTGATCAACTTATGCCACGAAGACCACAGCTCGGCACTCTTTGCCCAAGTGCCACTAAGGATCTGTGGGTTCCCTTTGTAAATGCGTCCGCCGAAGAGCGGCTCCTGAGGCGGGGCTGTGTGCGGGCATGCCAGGAACCCGTACCCCTCCCCCCCCCCCCCGCCCAACCATGATGTGGCAGCTCTGCCCAGACTGCTGTAGTGGTATGGGCGTACAGGAGTCTACAGCACAGTGCTTCCAGCCCCGCGACCGAAATCGTTGGAGAAGCATGAAGCTTACCATTACCTTACCCACATAGAAACCGCTTGGATTTGGGGTTTAGGGTTAAAGTTTAGGGTTAAGGGACCCTAAACCCTAAACCCTAAACCCTAAACCCTGCAGCTGCGTCACCCCGATGGTTGCAAAGAAGTAGAACCTTGGCGGACGGTTCTTGCTGACCCAATTCCTGAGAACACCCTGACGTGGGACACCAGTTGTTGGGGACGGAGCTGCCCAGGTACTGGCTTCAATGTTACAAAAACTTGAATTTCGTGCTGATTCTTCTCCTGCTTCGGGACTTTACGGGCGATGCTGATGCATTGGCCCTACTCGGGAGCCAACAACAAAAATGCCGCATCTGAGGCGCTTCGACAAGAGAGGTCCTAATGAGCCCGAACGCCTTGATGTGTGTCAAGGGGCGTGCACAACAGAACCATGCCCAGGCGGGAGTAGATCGGCAGCAGTCGCGCCACCTCGCGGCCGAAACAGATAGCGTTGGTTTGCATTGCCCCGGACCATCAAGTCATTGTATCGGCAAGCGCCTGGCCATGAAGTCGACAACCCTGAAGTTGGTCCTGAACCCCTTCTCACCAAGCAGCCCCGTCAAAGGGAGTAGTCTGCTCGAGCTGCTGCTATAACTCTATACTCTCCGAACTCTGAGCCCCCAAGCGAAAAAACCCCCCACCCCCCCCCCCCTCTCCCCCCCGGCCAGGGCCACGAGGTAGTGCAAGGTCTTGAGACGGGGTGCCAGGCAAATGCTCCGCATGATGTGCACCACCAGGATCTCAAAGCTCATTGACTCATGGACTGTAAACCCATAAACAGCTTTGGATTGTTGGTGAACCTGAGCTTTGTCATGAACCCTTGATTAGGGTTGGGTCGTCAAGCTGTGGCGCACTTCGAGCCTTTGTTTTGTCGGAAAGACCCCCTTCTTTCTTGACGGCGATGGCTGTGATTGCTGACCCCCCCCATTTCCAGCTACTTGGCCTTCGGTCTGCACAAATGTTCAATGCAACGTAGTACATCCGAAGAGTGTGAAAGAGAGGCTCAGGCAAGGGCCAATTCAGAGCAAAATGGGCCCAGTACCGCTCCCAGCAGGTCTTCGTGCGAGTATTGATGCCAAGCGTCTGTGCGGACGAGGTAGTCCGGTGCCTTCTTATGAGAGCTAAAGTAAGCCTCAGCGGCCAGCAATTGAAGGACTGACATCTGTGACTCTGCAGGGACCTTTGACAACAAGGGCCGACTGGCAAGACCAGCAGAACTGCTTCTTTCTCCCATCTAGGTCCCCACACGACATGATCAACATACACAACGTGACCTAGGCGAAGTTCAAGGAAGCAACATAGGCCGCCATCTCCATAACAATGAGGAGGGCGTTGCTGACGAAGTCAAAGCGGTTCCGGTGCGGTGCCGTGTTCCAAAACCTGGCCCCGGCATCTTAGGAGCTACTAACCTTTAGGGTTTAGGGTTTAGGGCCTTAGGGGCTACATCACCACCTGGAGCCGTGATCCCGTCAGCCCGTGTAGGAAGACACACCATCCTTTCGGAATTCGAGGGGCTGGGAGTTGGAGCTGGGACCCAACTGCCGTGGGTTCGGGCTTTCATTCCTTATGCACCATCAACATGTGGATCCCAAACCTGCGAGGGCCAATCACCAGCATTCGCAGCGACATTTCCACCACGAAGAAGACGGTGATGGCCGACATGACCTCTCACTGGGTGCACAGCTTGGCGGGATGTAGCAGACATAGTGAAGCGACACGGAGTCTGCCCTTAGATCCCGGAAACCCCCAGGCCATCCTTCTGAAATTCCACCCAACGAGTTTTCAGGAGCCCGAAATAAGCTGCTCCTGCCTCAAACCAGCCATGCGAAGGTCTCAGCCTGTGTGGCCGAGGGCTTTCAGAGTCTACGGCTTAAGAGATATTCTGGAGGGCTCTACGAGTTAGGCCGTGGAAATCCTAAACCTTGAATCATTGAATCTGAGGGTTCGGGGACTTTTGGGTAGAAGGCAGGATCGTCGACGTGGCCTAGGCTGCGAGGTTCGTGTCTCACAAGCCCATGACCTCTGAACCCTATACTATGTCGTGCTATTTCTTATCTTTTGGATCACATGAGGGTTTTTGTACATGATTATATGAGTCGCTCTGCCTGAAGCCTTCCGACTCTCACGCTGGCGAAATGCGGGCGAGGACTCTGGTTCGAGTGTCGAGACGTGAAGCACTTGCTTGCAGCTCAGCTAAAACCATCCCATCACAAAGGCTTAGTCCCAGACCCCGAGCGCGAAGCCTTCTCAGATGCCACAGACTTCGTCGACGGACGATAAGGCCACCGGGAAAAGCACACACCCAAGATGCCGCCATCAATGATAATAGTAAGAATAAGGTCATTACCAATAATACAATAATATACTATTCTTAAATACGCCGTAAAACCTGACCCTCAACAGGCGGATCCGGCGAGGCACGGCGAGTCTCGGAATCTTCCGCCCATGGCTGGTGAGACGAACAGGATGCCTGGGCGAGTTGCAACAGAGTCCTTCATTAATTGTCATGGAGGGAGAGGATCAGAAGGGGGATCAGCGATTTCATAGGGGTTCAGGCCGGCTGTGGCAGCACTTTGTTCCAAGTCGTAAAGGCATGCAAACCTGGAGGTGTGGTGAATTGTAAAAGGTTGCCCACGAACCAAACCCTAAACTCTAAACCCTTTCGAGCCTGGCCTGAGAGCCTAAACCCAAACCCCCCAAAAAGAGACTCTTTGCGGGCGAGGCTCTTTGCCCTGCAGCGGCGACCAGCTCTAGGAAAGTGACCTGAGATCGCGTTTATGGTTTACAGGGCTTGGGGTTTAGGGCTCAAATCGCTCCCACTCGGACAAGGCGAGGCACACACTGTCTCAGAGTCTCTCCATGAAACCCGTTGTGGGATTTCAGGTTCCGAGATTCTGTGCCACCACGGTTCAGGAGTTTTGGGCTGGCCTGTGCCTTCAGGCGCCTGGTAAGGTAGCTATGACTGTTGAAAACCCGTGCCCGGATGCCCCCAGTGGACTGTTGAAGAATTACGATGATGTAGGTTCTTTTCGAAGATAAAGTCTAAAGTCGGCCATAAAACCAAACGGCTTAGTGGTGAGTTTTCGCTTCCTGGGAGTGTGTGTGGGCTACGGGTTCATGTGAAGAAATTGCATAACTGTGCAGCTGAGTGGCAAGGTCAAGCACAAACCGCCAAGAAAAGCGGCGGCACGGCAGCCTCCCGTGCAGCAATACTTGGTCACTTCTACGCGGGTGGCGCGGGCTGCTCTTAATCCTCTTTATAGTGGGCCCTAACCGTCCAGAACACACATCCCAATGTGCGATTCATCTTTTTTGGGGGGTCGACTCCGCTCTGGCTCATTTTGCGGCCGTGCATGTGTCATGATGACTACGATGACTACACTTGTGGCAGCCTGAAGAACTGATCAATCTGCATCGTTGCCCCCCGCCTGAGGCCCTCCTGAAAGAGGCGCATCAGCCACATGCCACAGCAGCTCTCCTGGGCTGCCCATGCTGCCCATTCGATGTATTTCGATGTGTGGTATGCGCAGAGCCAGGCCAGCCAGGCCGTTTGTCTGACTGCTCATCTGGAGGAGCATCAGCCCGTGAAGATTCAAATTACCCCAAGCATCTGTGAAAGGACTCTGAACAACCGAGGCCGAACACAAGCCCAAACACACTGAATCCTCTTAGGTTGCTTCGTCGCGTGGCGGCCGCTTGCGGGAACGGACGTGTGGGAATGTAGATCTTGCGGTCCGATAGCACCTGCAGATCATGCTGCGCCGAACTGGGCGTCATGGTCTTTGAATTGGGTCGCTAGAGTTGTCCACTCTATTTGTGGGGATGAGTGTCGGTCAGAGAACCTGAAGGTCCGATGTTGAATGAGGCCTCCATACATGTACGTAGGTATCATGCAATCCCTCAAAGAAACTTGCCAAACCTAACTCAGAAATTGCCCTCCCTGCCGGTATATATTGATATGTAGTCTTGTGTAGACATGTGTATTACATATTACATATGTATATATATATATGTATATATATATATATATACACACATGTATGTCTCTCTCTCTCTCTCTCTCTCTCTCTGGGCGCTTTTTGGCTTGAGCCCGAGCATGGTGGCTGCAGTTCCTGACTGATCAGGTCGTCATAAGACCTGGGTACTTTGACATCTTTGCCATGCCGCATGGGGCTGATCTAAATTGGGGGCGTAAACCCTAACCGTTTTTTTGTGTTCCCAGCCACGGCCTCTAGCACGGATTTGAACTCATCCTCAGGGATGCTTGGAAGGAAAGCTCGATTCAAGATTCGCCTCGTACGATGAAGCTGAGCAGGTGGTGTAATGCAGTACATCTGTAGTTGTATCTAGTCGTAAAAGCAGTTGCCATGAATTTGCCAAAAGTGTGTACACACACATACATATATATATATATATATATGTATGGAAATAACCTGGATATACATATAGATATGTGTGTATGTGTAAATTAATGTTTATGCATAGATCTACAGGGCAAGGCGCACAAGGGCGGATTAAAAGGCTCAGTCGTCTTACCGATTTTTGCCACGATGGCAGCAGACGGGAAAGCACCATCAGAAAGAACAAGAGCGAAGCGAAAGAATAACTTCTTTTGCCGCATCTTCAGCTTGAACCTCAACCCAGGCCTTTTGCAGCGGCCTCCCGCGTGCCAGGCCGAAACCCTAAAATAAAAGTCCCTGCCTAAACCCCCACGTCCTCGGAGATCATCCCACTGTGGTCTGCATCGAGGTGGTGGAAGGCATCGCTCGCCTTGTTGCCAAAGTAGTGACGGTCCTTGCACTCACCGCTCGGACTAGACTATCAAAGTCTCAAGAGGAGATCTCAGGTGTGCAAGCGCCAAGGCTGAGGCTTGAAAGCCTTTCAGGGTCAAGGAGATGAGCAGTTTAGACACACGCCCGTACTCTGGGCTCCTGAAAAGGATGCCATCTGATCAAGATAGCTTAGCTTCATCAAAAAAGTAAAACACAGTACTTCTTAGATCCGACCCCAGGCTCTAAACTCTAAATTCAGAGTCTGTAACACCTCGAAGATGGGGACAAGCAATGCCTCCAAGATTAGAGAAAACTTTTCTCACTCCTTTTAGAAACTGCGAGCCAGGAGTCTCGGTCACTGCGCACATGATGGAATAGCCTTAGCATGAACACGGTGCGTTGCTTGAAGCTGATGTTGTATGCTCTTTATTGTCAGGTTTCTGTAGGAAGTCGGGGGGAGGAGACGGTCTAGAGGCAGGGTTGGAGCACTTCTGCAGATGTGGCCTTCCAGATGCATCTACTCTATCCCGGCAAAGCCATGCATTGGCCAAGGCGCCCATAGTATGTGAGCACAAACTCGATCCACCTCCATGAGCGAAGTCTTATGCTGTTTCCCTCTTCTCTGTCCGTTTCGGCCCTCAGGGCTCCAAGATCAGAATTAGAGCGTTTCGTACTCCAACTCTCTCCGTATAGAAACAGTCCTAACAAGTTAACAGACAAATAAATACGTAGCATATCAGTATATCCACACGAACAGTGTGACTGTGCAGATATGTACATATATATATATATATGTTTGCACACACTGCTCGTGCGGACATATACAAAAAATGTCTGCAATATGTATACATTCACGCAACTATGGAACAAAGAGACGTGTCTGCATTCTGCATTCATACCAACGCAAAAGGAAGCTTTCTGCAGTGTCGGTAAAAAAAGAAGGTCAGCAATGAGGATATGCCGTGGTTTCATTTGAGCATCCTGCGCTAGTTTGGCACGGAGAACGTCGCAGGGCTCAAGAACAGACCTGTAGAAATGTCAAGGCGACATGAGCATGTTGTTGTAGGAGCCCGAAGGGAAGCTGTCCCAGGTTGCAGACCTATGGTTGATCTAGAAAGATCCATGGCCTTTGTCGGAGAGAGAAAAACTCAGGAGAACCATGAAGGCAACACCAGAACAACAGTGAATCTATCGACTTCACAACAAGACTTCACAGGCAAGGTGGCCTTTTCTTGTTAATGTACATGGTCTCCGGTGTCGTCGCCGACCCGGAAGCCAGAAGACGGAATGCCTTGCCAACAGAGTAGGCTTTCCTTAGATTGAGCCACAAATGCTCTCGCTACAAAGCGTCGACGATCTGCAACATCAGCGCCAGTGCCAAACTTGCTTTTTCATTGGCCACAACTCAAAAAGAGCAACAGCACATGCTCTCAGCGGTGAGGAGCCTGATATGCCTACAGACCCAGTGCTGCTTCTTTCAAAACCTCTACGGAGCACGACTAAATCGTGTGAAATTGAAGATCATCTAATGACGGCTCTCAACGCTGGCCATGCGGAAGGCAAAATGACGCGTGCGACGACAGCCAGCAGAAGCACAGGGGCGCGGACCGGGTGTCCCATGGATGGGCCGCCCAGCGTCTTCACGAGAAACCACTCCCTGAAAACACAGGATGAGCCCTGGGCCACAACCTTCTCCTGAGAAATTGATTCTTTCATGCTGCTACGACCTCGGGAATATCTTTGACTCAAAGAAGAGAGAGAAGAAAACAAAAACGATCGCGAGGTTTCAAGGAGCTCGACTTCGTGACAAACACCTTGTGATGTTCTAGTATAATCCCTATTAAGGACTGTTAGTATAAGGGAGAACATGCCAACAAACTCCCATCACCGCGCCGAGCATCATCGTCTGAAACTTTTGGAGCTGCATGAGGAGCTGAACCTCCCATGCAACTTACTGCTGCTTAGCAGGGGATGAGGGAATTAGGGCCCTATCTTTACCCTTTAAGGGACTATATAGGGTACCTCATTCCCCCATTCCCTGTTAACCAGCAGAAAGGCAAAGAGGCTTGGGAGCTTGAGGGGCTTAGGAGCAACATTTCTCCAAGTCAACCCAAGGTGGTTGAAGCCTACGGGCCTACATCGTGGGCTCAACAACAACGAGCACGACTCTTACAAAATGAAGATTTCAAAACAATGCGTAGCGAGAGCCAGACAACTCACGCGATGGCCTTGTAGGCATCGTAAGCTGCAGCAAGGAGGATGTTGTTCAGCAAGTACAGGGAAGTCACCAAGTACCTGATGTTCTTGAAAACCTCCTTTGACCCGGAGCGTGGCTGTCGAAAACACGGATGAGCTGGCAGAGCTAAGATGTTCTGTGACTCTACACACACACGCTCTCATTGTTGTCGACAAGGCGCAGCACGAAGAACGCGAAAGTGGCACGTGCGTCAGTGTAGGACGGAACCATCACGTCCGGAAAGTTTGCGGTCGTGAAGAGTATCCACCTTGGTCAGCACACCCACACACGCACAGTCCGACGCCCTCGGCTTCTGCAAAGCAAGTAGAACTATTTCGTCCAAACTGTATTCCCGGGAATGTTCAAGAAGCAGCTCGACATGTAAGCTCTTAGGCAATCACCGCTGCCCTTTGCCGGACGAGCCCTCCACTGTGGCCCAGGACCCTCACCCTAACCCAAAGTCTTCGAGCACCCTCTGATTGCCCACGCAACACCGAACACCCCGCCCCCAACAATTGGGTCTGCGCACACACACACACAGACAGAGAGACAGAGAGACACAGAGAGAGACAGACACGACTCACAGAGACAGAATTTACGGGTTGTGGTCTAGGTTTAGTTGGAACTTGCTATCGCTTCGCATCACGCATGATCCGCACGGGCACCACATTTGTGATTACGACTAATTCCGACTAGTTCTGGGAAAACACTTCCCGAGCCCGCGCTAATCAGGATTCAGCATCGCCGCACCGCAAGATGTTGGATGCAAAGCACTCTCGAATGAAAGTTCTTGAAAATCTACCTCTTGACTACTGGGCCTAAACAACAACAAACAGACTATCCCCACCACTACGCAAGATGTCCTCCTACTACGTGTCAGGACAAGCCACAGAGACGACAAAGCTTCCGGCCCATCGTGAAAGAAATCAAAGCCTCCCGACAAAGGGCTCTCGGCGCACCATCCCATATGCCCAGGCAGCTGTGCAATGAAGCCCTAAACCCTTAACCCTAAACCCTAGACCCACTTGGAAACAAGGCTAAGGACCGTGAGCAACAATCGGAGGCAGCTCTAGGCACTGTTACCACCGTGTGTTGCAGCCCCAGCCCGCCTTCTTCGCTCCTGGAGAAGATGATGAGCCCCATCCATGCAAAGACCAGAATGCAAACCTGGATGGATCAAGCCAGATTCTCCGAGCTCAGAGAGAAGTCAAAGGCAGCACAAACTCAAGGAGTTCACAGAAGCAGCGGCACAAGTGGCAAAGACACCGGGATCTGGGCTGCTGGCGCCAACTACCATCTTTGCTCGTTAAAACCACTTGAGAAGCACAACCCTCACATCCTGGCCCTTATACATGCTCTTAACCCTTTCACCCTCTCCATTTTGTTCAACGGGGTGGCGCGCGACGCGGTCTTCCAGGCATCTCAAGGATTACCATAAGGCTGGACTCGAGGCGCGCTGGACCCGAGCCACGGCACTCCACGATATGGCCTTTGAGGTTCGGCCTTTTGGGGGCCAAGTAGTCCTTGCTCCCCGAAGACTAAACCCCCCTACCCCCTAACATTAAATATTCACCATACACTGCCTGGTGCTAGTATAGTGTGTAGATCCCAAGACCATGTACGAGACATACTCAACTCGATTCTGCCCGGCTCTGGGTCCAGAAATTGCCTGGGCAAGTTGGCAAGATGCCTTGTCTTCCATCTCCGGACGCGCGCGGAGCAAAGCACGCAAGATTCAATCATGGGGGGTCAGTTCTGAGTTCTGCACTGCATTGCTGCTATGCTGCTATGCTACATTCATGGGTTCTCCCCCCCACCCCCCATCAGAAACGACTATGTCAGGGGCCTGTCGAATTGCCAGCGTTTTCCGGCGGCGCTCAGAAACTGTACGGGCTGGGCACTGGTTAGGCGTCGTCATCGCCATCAACCTTCCAGTGCTGCCAGAGCTCCAGAGATGCCAAGTGCGAGGTACTGTGAGTGGCAATCACGCTTGTGTGCGGGACGAGGAGCCGATGCTGTGTGTCACGGCCAGTTCCAAGCTTCAAGTGGACTTTGCAATGCCCAAAATCCACCCCCCCCTCGCGTGCAGATTCTAAGCCCCATAAACAGCAACACCCGAGCCTTCTGCGCACCACAATATGCCGCAAAAACCCACGGAAGACTTGCTAAGAAACGCCCCATGCACGCAGCACCATTTTGGTAGAATGCACCCCTCAACTCTGAACCCCAAAAGCTGCAAGCCGTCAATCCCAAAAGAACCCTTTACAACTTCCTTGTCCTCCCGTAAAAAAACGAGGGGAGGAGAGGCCTTCTTCTGCATCAGGGCATCCATGGCCGCCTGGTCCAACTCAGGCATGGCTTCCTGGTCACTGCCGGCCTTGGCGTGGAGATCGGGTACATGCATAATCATACTAATCATAATAATAATAATAACTACATTAATATTATTAATACCAATAATCTATAGAAACCCTCATTAGACTGTTTCCAGCTTCCCAAGGTTTCATGGACATTCAGCTGATGGAACCGATCAGAGTGAGGGCATGACTCCGGGTCCTAGTTTCGCCTTGTGGCCGACTGATGGTTTTGTTTATGGTCGGGCGGTGCACCTGCTTGCGAATACTGGGGTGTTAGACAAGATTTTTGAAGACTAATGCTAGCCCAGGCTTCCTCATCCAAGATCCACAGGCCCTCCCGCCCTAAATCCTTTTTCAATTTCTTGAACCTGCCTGGAAACCGAAACAATCTTTAACCCGGCCTGGAAAACTAAGCAGTCTTGTTTTGGGGCCCGGCCTCTTCATCCTCAGAGTCTTCCTCATCACTCGACTCTTCGGCATGCTTCTCCTGCTCAACAAAATGTCCAACTTTCGGGTGATCTTGTACGGGGTGTAGTGAGATGATCACGGCGCATCGGAAAAGGAGTGAAAACCATGAACCGGACCTTCGAAACATCGGAGCGTGAAAAGCAAAGCCTCAAAAACCCTCCAAACGTCAACTTGAGAGACTCTGCCCCTCTGAAATGTTATATGCTCTCACAACGAAGGCCCGAAAGCACGCCCTGTACAAGTATTACCCTATACAAGTTCATGGTTGGGATAGTATTAAAATTTCAAATTTGTATTCCTTATTGGGTTTTAAGTACCCTTACAAATGTAAAAGTGTTACCCAACTATGACAAGTATGGGCCACCCAGTCTCCTCCTGGCCAGTGACCTCGGGCTTGAGCACGGTCAGGTACTCGCCCTTCTTCTCTTCGATCGAGGTCTTGATCCTGGCAAACCCAAAGCAACCCTAAACTGCCCTAAATTCGTCAAACCCTGCAGAGGCCTGTGTATATATATTATAAGAATTATAAGACTTTTAAGAGCTATAAGAATGATAAGAATGATAAGAATGACAAGAATTATAAGAATTATAAGAATTAGATGGAATACTCAGACGTGGCATGGGGGCTACGAGCTGCTACAGCTATGCATTGGTTTTCCAGATTGTAGGATATGCTGCGGATCCAATGGGCTTTCAGAATGCGTTGGGGGCTCATGGCTTTCCGCGAAGCAAAACGCAGCCGGATTCAGGCACCTCTCCATGGCATCTTCGAGAACTGCCATGCCCGTGGGCTTATCCCGGCATATGCCTCACAGGAAGGATGGGTCTGTGCGGGGAAGTGCCGCAAAGGACCAGATGCTCAAAATTGCAAAGCCTCCAACTCGTGCGAGACAAGCTGCAGGTCAGGACAAACAGCGGATGAGCTACAAGATTGATCTTGACCTGACAGTGGCAAAGAGAGAAGCTACTCTCATACTTTCAGGTGAATCTCCAATGTACAGGGTACAGGACTCAAGGAGCATTGGGCTGGTGGTACTGGTACATACATGGGATCTGCAACCTTCAAGAGGCCGCGCTTGAAAGTCCCACACTACCGCCGACCTGCAGATAAGTTGGCCACGAACCACCCTCCAAAAACAAGTGAGCCACAGGCCTCGCACTCCTCCGTGCTGGCCTTGAAGCCCTCCGTCAAAGCTTCCTGACTTGAAGCTTTCTGAGTTTTGCGATGTGCCGTGATAGTCGGGGGTGCCAGGATGAAACAGCATCAGTGGCCGAACTCTGGCAAACTCATGTTCTAGTCAGCCTTCACAGCATCGACGCCCTCGTATTCGGAGCAGGAGACCTGTACCAGGTGGCTACAAGAGATCTCGCAAAGGACTTCCATGGCTAGCTGTGTGAGGTTTGAGGTTGAGGATTGCCTGTCTTGGATCTTGAAAGCGTAGTCTGGGATTCCCCGAATGTTAGGATGGAAAGGTTTCGGAAGTCGCCTCGATTTTCGCTCGGAGTCGGATCGTGGCTTGGATCAGCCTTCTCTTGAGGTTGGTTTCGATATCCTCCTGTCGCAGAAGATCCAACAAGCAGACTCTGCAAAAGAGGTCGCGGGAGGTCTTAAGTCCAACTCTGGGCATGAAGAATCTCTTGTGGCAGCGTGCGGGCAGCTGTGCAGCGGCTCAAAACTTGTGAGAGTGAGTGAGTGAGTGAGTGAGGGGATCCATACTGGTGAAGTGCAGCACCATGCTCGCTGTGTCTTTCCCGGCTTTTCAGGGGGCTCCGAGCACTGCTGGCCCGATCTCAGGGGAAAGAGAGGGGGATGGGCCGCGTCGACCACTTCGCGTGTCAAAAACCAGGGGCCACCTCTGACTGCCAGATCTCAGCCGCTGCGTGCACAAGACACACTCAAACAGAATGGTTGTAAATCAACTCCCCCTCCCCCCCCTCCCCTCCCCGCCCACCCCTCTCTCGACACTTACAGCCCCGCCCCAAACAAACGCTTCTACCTTCGAACTAGGACTACGTGTTCGGATTCAGTCTTGCAGCGAAACACGGTGCCCCTGAGTCCTTGATCTTGTCTGCCAGGTGTGTGAGGTCCATGCCTGGCTGGCTGAAATCAATCTCGTCCCACAGATTGATCTCCTGGTTGATGTGCCTCGGTTCATTGTCATTTCAAAGCACAGACTTAGTTAGGGCCCTTGGCACGGGAACATGCGTAGGATAGCTTGGGCTTGTGTTCCAAGGAGCTAAGAACCGCACTGCAAATGCGAACCCCATCGCAGCATCAAAAGTAAGGCGGAAGACAGCACAGATGATAAACCAATGGCCCCGAACAAGGAGAAAGTTCAGCTGAGCAGCTTCTTGTAAGCCTCAAAAGCGTTGTTGTACTTCTTGTAAAGGGGCCAGGAGGCCTTGCAGCACAACTCGTTGACCGGGATCTGGTGTGTCTGAGCCACGTGCCTCACAAAAACGGCTTGTTGGCAGGGATTCTCCGAACACCCAAATCTCGAGCTTTCTACCAACTCTAACCACAACTTCCGGGAGCCATTTTGGGGGGCCCTCAAGGCCCTTGGTGCGCCTCATGATGCCGTGCACAGCCTTGGCTTTTGCGAAGGACTCCTCCTTGGCGGTGGCATCCTCGGGTTCTACTCGTCGCTTGGACAAGTCCACGTAGCCCTTCTCCTGGTCTACGCGCAGCACCATGCAGATTTCGGTCTTTCCAACCTTCACTAGCTTGGCCAACGATCGGATCCGCCGCTTCGAAAGCTCGCTATTCAGGAGCATGCCCTCATGATTGTCGTACTCGAGAAGGGAGACGTAGGAGCCCATGTCAACGATGCGCTTCACCTGCACGACTACGATCTCCTCAAGCTCGGGAAACTCCGCCTCATAGTATCGCCCTTCTGCACTCGCCATGGCTCTGGGTCGACCAAAATCCCTTGAGCAAGGCCTCTATCTACACGCGCGTCTTGCGAGCCAACGTTGTGCATGCGGCCGTGGATACTGCCAGCACGAGTCAATCTGGTATAGCACTGAACGGCATTTATAAACAGGACAGGCGTTACCACTGTGTAAATATACATGTACATACATGCATATGTATATATATATATATGCCCCCACACATGTACCATGTGCCTGAAGCAGGTTTGAGATGACTTCGCGCTGAGCAGCTGCCAAGGCTGCCAGAACTTCCCAGAAGTCCAGAAATGCCAGACCCAATCGGCTGACAGTGGATCGCAGAAACTTGCGGCTGGAGATGTAGATCCTGAGCTCATTGCGCACACTTTCGGTGCACCCAATCGGTTCTGAGTCGGGGCTCAGTTCTCCCTTTGCCATCTGACTCCTAACACAACACTTTTCTCGCCGGTGCCAAGCAGCAGCGGCCGGCAAATTCCTGGATTCGCAGGACATGCAAGGGGGAGTAATGAAAACTGAGCTGATCTTCCAAGCTTATAACCAGTATGCTTGCACGGTTTGGCAAATCATCTCATGCCACCAGGCCGTCCAGAGCTTGCAGAGCTGGATGCAAGCTTGCCCTTTCCGTGCACTTTAGCTCAGAAACCTTTTCAGACACACGTGCGCCTCGTATGCTTTACTGACACATCCAAGGGACGGCTGACACGGAACGCGCCAGGGATTATGCCGTCGGGCTTGAACCTCTCACACGATTTCATTGGCACGCAGCGCACACTGTAGTGAAGGCAGAGGCGGGTGTGGTGTACTTGCTGTTGCCGATGTTGTACAACCCGCTACAAGCCAATTGAGGGAGGTGAACAAAACACTGATTGACGTTGACTCCAAGGCACACAGCTGCGACGCAGTCCACCATGGCCATGCTCAGGAGAATCTGCCATCGAAAGGGAGTCTACAAGTGCTGATCGTTCTTGACGCGGGGCTGATAGCATCAGAACTTGGATTCTGAATCCCGAACCCGCTGTGTCGAGGAACAAAAATACCCGAGACCCATTTTGAAGCAGATATTTTCTGCTGAGTGGACAGTTGCAGGAATGCTATTTGATGGGCATGTACACAGACTTCGATCGTTCCCAGGTTTGGGTGCCTTCCGCAACACGTGCCACCATCTGCGAAATGGCCCATCTCCTGCAAAAGAGCAACTTGCCCAGGGGGTGTCAGGCTCAACTTAAAGCCCGTCTGTACATAACATGTGAAAACAGACTTGGACATGATGGCAGGAAGTGCAAAAGCAACAGATTCGGAAAACTGAAACGGAAGATTCTGATACGACAACCCCGGATAAGAAGCCTGAAAAGCAATCTGGTAGTCATCTATCCTGGTTGTTGAGCACTACACCATATTGGGCAAGGGCGCTGTTTATATAGGGTGTACAAACCCTGATCGGGAGACTTGTCCGTGGCAGAACCCAGGCGTAGAAACAGCACAACCTGCACCTGGCGGTCCTGACTGGCTGCGCATCCAGTAGATCATGGCCAAATAAAGTAGGCAAAGAAGCTCGATGCTGTTCGAAACCTGACGATCTATCCGGCATTTGGCTGTGCACTTGGCCTTGAAACTCGTGTCGTATCCAGGCAACATGCGAGCATGAAAGAAACTACTGCATTTGCATTCCAAGAAGACCGCACCAACGCAACCTAAATCGAGCCGAAAGCCACCCTATGACGACCGATTGCAGTCTCTTGTTGCATAGACTAGGGCTGAAGATGACTGAAGCATGGGCCCCCATCCTCCCTTACCGACAAGCCATCTAGGACGAACGATTGCGAATGCCAAGATCCCAGCGTTTGCCGGCAAGATGTGCAAGTTCCAGCTGTAGATGCCCGGTTTGTTCAGACCTGCTGCCACTTCCACGGCTGACTCTTGGACTTAACTTTGATAGCAAAAACTGGCCAAGGTGCAAGTGTCGCCCTCATCAATGCTCTCCAGTAGGCACCAGGAAGGCTCCTACGAGCACAACATCAAACAAGAGGCACCGCATCGTCCCGCATCGATTTCCTCAACAACCTGCTGCTGCGATTGCTGTACCGCTCAAGTCCACCACGGTAATATATATATATATATATATATATAAATATATATATATATACATATATATATACATATATATATATACATATATATATATATATACATATATAAATATTAACCCTGAGCCCATGCTAGCCCTCATCCCCCGCAAGCTGCAAGAGTCCTCGAAGAGTGCCAAGAGCAAGTAGATGTGTTTGATGGCCACTGTGAGTGGCTTTATCTTCCTGAAGGCAACAGCAACTGACCTGACACCTGCCAAGCCTGATGCAACATCTTGCACATCCGGCAGCTGTCCCAGATGATGCCGGCGAGACTTTCTGGTTTGGGCATTGCATGGCATTGCGCAACGAATTCTGTAAGGCTGCATGACACCCTGCGTCTCTAACCAGTGAGTGGATTGCCTCCCAAATACTACTGCTGTTTGTCATCTTTGCTGACCAGGGAATCGAATTTCACTTTGACAGGACATCTTTCGACTGCAGGTCGACATGCTCAAGATCGATAGCATGCAGCGGAGCTTCTGCCGCAAGAGGTAGTAATGCAGCTGTCGGTGGGAGCAGTCGTCCAGCCACTTGTCGCTCCCATTTGTTGCCTGTCAGAAAACCGACTGATTTTGATCACCAATTGCGACGATTCACAGAACAGTTCAACCACGTATTCTTGGCTGACTTCTGAACCCCTCCAAACATTTTAACTTTTCGGCTCCTTGTTACAGTTTCTACAAAAACCCAAACAGTTACAGTCCTAAGAAAGCCAAGGTAGAGGGGGCTTCGGGCCACCGCTTGATGGGGTTCGGGTTCTTGTGGCTTCAGGGTTGTTCGGCCGAGCCTCCGCCGGGAAGACCGACATGTGGTAAGATGAGCATCTCTCAACGCCCTTTGTGGCCCAACATGCCCAAATCCGAAGCTCCGGCAAATACAAACCGCGGGGACTCTGCTGCGTCTCTGTGATGCTTCATGCTCACGAAAGTTTCTGAAGCAGAGGACACCTGTGCATTCCCATGGCCCCTGCTGCAGGTTTTCACCCATAGCCACATGACCCTGCCTTGTGCAGCCACACGGCAGCAACCTGCACTGAGCTCGGGCCGGCCTCCGCAGGCCAAGCTTTGAAGGAAGAAACCATAGGTAGATTCTAGGTAGATTCCAGTTTGTGCGCACAATCTTCAGCAAATACACCCGTGAGAGAGAAGCCTCAGCTGTCTGCAGTAGATTAGTAGACAGACTTGGCAAGAACAAAGCTGTCATCCAGTCTGGATCGATCAATCCATGGGCAATGCAAGTAATGACCACAGGCTTTCCAAACTCCACTCCCTCCCGAAACATCAAGCTCTGAACTGCATGCCTCCTTGCTGTGCCCTTCCACCGCTGCACTGTAGCTGTCGCAGAATTTCGCCATTGCTCGAGCGCAGCGTGTCGTCGCATAACGTGGACTAATCTAGTCGCATTCTGGGGTCGCTCCTGAAGTGCCTTTCCCAGTTTCGATGGAGAAAATTCACTGAGAATGGGGTGCCTGCCTATGCTAGAGTCCACCCGCCACGGCATGTCTTCGCTCTTCCGGATCCTAGGTCATTGAACATGTTGGTGTGCTCACAGAAACGACTGAGCAAGATCCATCGCAGAAAAGTAATTTTACATGACCCTTGCTTGGCAACAGGTCGTGAAGCAGCAGCCCAGACCTCACCGTAAACGCGAAACCCTCAGGCCAAGCCTAAACATGCTAAGAACATGCCCAGCCGGTCGTCCTTTCCGAGCTCAACTGTTCGGACTAGTGGCATGAACTGGCCAGCAACATGCATATGGATCGCTTCAGCCTTTCCGGATGTTCCTTATTCAGCCTTGGCTCAACAAAAGCAAAGCCCCTAGACCCTGGACTGCCTCTGAGCCCTCTGGCAACACCCCGAAGGTGCCCGCAGGTGCCCCAAAGCCCTTGAAAAAACCCCACGAAAGCCCCAGAGCCGAGGCACAAAGTAGGGCTGCTTGAGCCCCAACGGCATCGAGGGCTGTGGCTGAGGTGGGCAGCGCCTTTGTGGTTCACCGGGGATGCTTTCGGACCTTTTGACGCTTTAGGGGACTTTAGGGGACTTTGGGGCTGCTGGGATTTCAGGCTGAGCAAATTCGGGGCTTAAGAAGGTTGTTTCAGCTTGGACGATCCGTCGTCTCCCTCTCAGCAACAGCTTTCCTGACCCGCACCGACTGCTCAAAGAATCAAGCCTGGCTGCAGGCACTTTCAGGCTTTGTGAGGTTTCATGTCTGGTCTCTCGAACAGCGCATTGGGGGCTTGGGAGCCTTCACTTGGAAACTCGGTAAGACCGATCCCGTTTTCTGCACCCGGACTTGGAGCCTCAAATCCGCCACTGATGGTGACGAGCAGAGGCTGAAAAACGATCAATCCGCCAGGGACGAACCTAGACCAGCCAAGTGGCTGCCGAAAGCACGAGGGTCTTGCCGAGGCTTGCAGCCGTGGCAGAAGCGTTGATGCAGCTGCCCTGCACGGAGGTAGAGGCGTCCCAGACTCCCAGACATACTGGCCTTCTCATGCCCGCTCGGCGTTAATTTTCGGATGCAAGGATGAAGGCTCTTGTCTCAGACACATGGGCATGTTGTGGAAACACGGCCAACTTTGCGTACAGAAGGCACCGGTCTACAACAAATTTGCAGCCTGTTGCAGCGTCAGTGTACCCCAGCTGTCCCTCCTTCATTGCACGCAGAGCACGCACCTCGAAGGCGGTCTCTGTCAGGACTGCGAGGCGGGTTACCTGGTTCATTTTCTGAAGAGCCTTTGGGCCTGGTTCACCTTGTCAGAGTACAGCCAGGCTCGCCCACTCAGCCACACTCGCGGCCCCTCATCTTCTCACACCTCCTACCCCTCCTACCCTAAAGCCCCCCCCCCCCCCCCATCTCCTACCCCGA